TGAATGAAACAAGAAGATGTGGTGTGTAAATATACATATTATATACTCAGTCATAAAAAGAATGAAATTCTGCATTTACATCAATGTGGATGGCCCCAGAGAGTACTATCCTTAGTAAAATAAGTCAGTGAAAGATAAATACTCTGTATTATCACTTATATGTGAAATTTAAAATATTAAACAAAGGAAAGTATACAACAAAACAGAAAGAGACTCATAGACACAGAGAAAAAAACCAGTGGTTACCAGTGGAGAGACAGAGGGGGATGGATAGGACAGGATATGAGATTAAGAGATATAAGCTACCATGTATAAAACAGATAAGCAACAAAGATATATTGTATAGCACAGGGAAATAAAGTCATGTTTTGTAATAAGTTTAAATGTAGCATAATCTACAAAAATATTGAATCATTGTGTTGCATACTTGAAAATAACATAACATTACTATAACAGTGGCTCAGTGGTAGAGTCTGCCTGCAATGCAGGAGATGCAGGTTTGATCCCTGGGTTGGGAAGATTCCCTGGAGAAGGGAATGGCAACCTATTGTGGTATTCTTGCCTGGGAAATCCCACGGAGGGAGGAGCCTGGTAAGCTACAGTCTATGGATTGGGTTGCAAGAGTCGGGCACGACTTAGCAACTAAACAAGGATAATTTTTAAAAAAGAAAAAGAAAAGCACTAGTAGCAACACTACTGCTGTGGGCCTGTGTGCCAGCACTGCCACCTATTGCTCATTCCAGGCCCAAACCATCACACCTCAAACCAAAGACCGGAGACATTCTCTAGGTAAGAAACACTCTGGAGCCTTGGTTAATCATTGACCCCTTGCAGGATTAAAAGGAAATCAATGTCACTCCTGAAGCTACAGAGAAAAGGTAATGGGGCATTCTTACTAATGTGGACAATTAGGTGGTGATTATACTTAACTGAATTTCACAAATTGGAGTTATGTTGGCTTACAGACTTTTTGCATACTTTATTCTCTGCTATATCCCCAGCATTTAGAACAGTGCATGTCACACAGTAGCTGCTCAATAAATACTTATTAAATAAATGAATCCCTAAAGAAAAAGGGTAATTGCTCTCATAAATTTGCCACACTACCTATTTAGCAACTTCAATTTTCAAAAATGCTGTGACTTCTCTCTAGTAAATAAGAATATCCCTAGATATGGGTAGAATTGATAGAGAGGGATAGATGACAAGAGGAGGAAAGAAGAGGAAAAGAGGGGGTGTCCTGATGATTGCCACATAATATACCAGATACAAACGATAAAAACTTGGATGAAGAAAGAATAAATATGACATGGAAAACTTACTAAGACTAGTCTATTCTGCAAATGAGATTATGACATTCATTCCTTTTCAACAAAATTCAAAAAAGTTAAAGCTTATTTTAAAAATCGTGTATTTTGCTTTTACTGAGCAAAAGCATTCAAGCTGTCACATTCACTAATTGATATACTACCTATGGCACTAACATTTTTTTACACTGGTAGTTGACATAGAAGTTAAAGAATATTGGCTTAGCTTTAACAAACTTGGAACAAGAGGTTGCTTGCTAAAAAATGATTTTACTTATCAAGCATGAAACTGGTTTTCGAGGTAAAGTGAAAAGTGAAAGTGAAAGTTGCTCAGTCCTGTCTGACTCTTTGCAAACCCAAGGACTAAACAATCCATGGAATTCTCCAGGCCAGAATACTAGAGTGGGTAGCTGTTCCCTTCTCCAGGGTATCTACCCAACCCAGGGATTGAACCCAGGTCTCCTGCATTGCAGCTGGATTCTTTACCAGCTGAGCTACCAGGGAGACCCAAGTTCCTTCTTCTTTTTTTTTTTAAAGCCCTGTTGTCCTCTTTTTTTCACAGTGCCAATATCCAGATTTGCATATGTGGGGCAAATCCCCACTGCTTCTATCCATCTTACTCTGTGTCAGGAATGCCTGACTCTGGCCCCTCTTTACCTAGGCTATTCTCAGTGCTGGATTTGCAGCCTCCAGGGTTGAGGAAATATCCTCCCCTGAGACAAAAAGCAGGGTTGCTTACTGTTTGGTACAAAACAGCAAATTCCCCAAATTTAGGATTCTTCCCCTGCAGTGATGCCCTCATTCAGAGGGCCCCATCTGCATTGCCCCTAGAGGAGAACCTGGGATTTGGGGAACTGATATGACCTCTGACATTCTGGTTACTGCTTTTGCTTTGAGTAGTAAAGTCTTTCAAAACCGATTTTCAGAAGTCATGAGTCTTCTGTGAGCATCCATGAACTGTGGCAAGTAAACATCTGAGCTAGAAAGCTGTGTAAAAAGCCTCAGACTCCTCCTGGCTGTTGGCAGCATGGCTTCATTAAGGATGTGGACAACCACAATCAAAAGACCCGGCGCACTCAAGGCACAATGAAGCGAGTTTTCAGAAGGAAAGCTCAATGCTTCAGAGATAAATGGATGACGTAAACCGAAAATATAACTTTAATAGTGAAAACAAAACTTTCAGACTAGAAAAAAATATTTAAGGGAGTGGAAAATTATAATAATGTCTTAAATCCAGTGCTTTATTTTAACTAGGGTTATTTATGAGTGCTATGCCCAAAACATGGTAAAGTAGTAAGAATTTTATAAAATTCGGTGACTCTACAATATAAATCAGAAAGAAAGGTACCATTTGCAAGTCTTGAGGAGAGCTTCTTTCTTTAATTTAAATGGATTTACTCACTATATTATTTCATTTTAGTAGCTTGGGCCTAGCACGTGCCTGTGCTCAATGGTGTAGAATCTTTGTGACCCTATAGCCAGGCTCATCTGTCCAGGGATTTTCCAGGCAAGAACACTGGAGTGGGTTTCTGTTTCCTACTCCAGGGTATCTTCCCAACCTAGGGATCAAACCCATGTCTCTTTTGCCTCTTGCATTGGCAGGTGGATTATTTATCACTGTGCCACCTGGGAAGCTCATGCATTATTTAATCATTTATTACTTCTTAATAATATGGCAAATAATTCATTTCAAGAATCATGATTTAAACATTCACTTTCTAAATTCTAGGTTCTATTTTTGCTGAGGTAAAAGTTTCCATCATCTTTCAAACTCAATTCTTAGATTTGGAGTTGGAAATTATTTTCCTGATGCTTTGAGAAGGGAGAATGAATTCTACACCTTTCTAAGTACCACTTGGCTATAGAGAATTCTATAGTATGGATAAACTTAGTATGGATAAGTCCTGATTGAACTAATTATAACTTGAATGCTGTGGCATTCAAATGATGAAATGGGATCTAGAAGTCAAGTCTTTGGGGTTAAGAAATAAGATTTGTTAGGATTTGACCTGAATTACTGTATAAGCTTGAGAAAGTAACCACTCTATTCTTCAATTATTTAAAAATTACTATTGTAAAAGATATCATTCCTTCTTATTCAAGATCCAGGAATAAGGTAAGATGAAAAATTTCCCTGTCAAGTTATCAGATAATGAGAGCAGAGAAAGCAAGAGTAAGAGAGTAAGAATGAGACAGAGAGAAACTCTACTTTTTGCAGGACTATAAAGTACAGGGCTTGTGCTGAAACTTCGTTTCATTATACCCCAATGTTCTATAATTCTTTTCCTTAGAAACAGCATTAATTAACTGGCAGATGACCAACTCATTTTGTAGAATAAGAGTATAATTTGTAGAATAAGAAATTTAAAAATCTCTTATTCAAAAACAGGACTGTTGAAAAGTTAAACCAGCACTTATCATTTACTTAGCTCAACAGCTCCAGAAAATATGTCTGTTTCTTCTCTTAAAGAAATCCAAAGCAACAAGTAATTTGACAAATATTTCTTTAACATGTTATCCCTACCATAATCTTAAGCACCTCTATTTTGGAACTTTACTGTTCATGCTTTCTATGTTTCCTACTAGTAAGCAAACTTAAAATTGAGTAACAATTTTCATATCCACCAGGACATTGTATTCAGATTGTTGATGTCATGCCCTTAAATCACAATATATCTAGCTTTGGGAGGTTCCCCATTCATTTCCTGCCATACTGACCAGTTTTAAAATACAACAGTGAAATTTAAGGTACTAATTTCAATAAGGCAATTTGAAGGTATATGTTCAATTGAGAAAGGCAGAAAAGTTTTCAAAAAATATTGCCATCCTCAGATATTCAAGTGACATGAGCACATGAACATTACCACTCAGAGCCACCAGCTACAATCAATTTTAAATGAATCAAACAAGAGAAATGGTATTTCTTCCACTCTAAAGGCCTGGAAAGAATCTAAGCCAATATTTTCCTTTGGCTGATTTACAAAAGAGCAGAGGATAAATTAGGACTTTGGGATTAACCTATACACACTATTATATATAAAACAGATAACCAATCAGGACCTATTGTATAGCATAGGTAATTATACTCAGTATTTTTTAATAACCTGTAAGGGAAAAGAATCTGAAAAAAAAAAAAGATACATATATGTATGTATAACTGAATCACTTTGCTGTACAACTGAAAGGAACACAGCACTGTAAACCAACTCCACTCCAATCTGAGACAAACCAAGGCAGGGCCGTCAAGCACACTCTATGATTTGCATGGCAAAAGCCTGCACTATTTGTGTATCATTACATACTAAATGAAAGAGAATTTTTAAAGGGGGAAGACTTTTTGTTAAAAGTTTCAGGGTTTTATTTTTTTAACCCTGATATAGCTTATAATTCCCTTCCCCCAGGAGAAACGCTGCCATGTCGGCAAATAGGTGTCCACGTCAAACAGACCGATGAGAGTACTACGATAAAATTCTCCCCGATCTTTTTTGAATGACACTTTACCTGTCAAAGCACAGAGTCTCTTAGTTTTAGTCATGGGGGGAATATATTTTAAAAGCCCCTTTTTGCTGCTGTCAACTCTGAAACTCTATGCGGACCCGGGACTTCTGTGAGGTGCGCCGGCCTGCTGACGTAACAGGTCTCACACTGGTTGGCTCTGATGACCTGAGACGACCAACTTCACCTCACACTCACCTTGTTCGCGCTGTTAAAAAACTCATTTGCCTTTTTTAACCAGCCTTTCCTTTCCGCCATGAGCTGACCAAACTCCTCTTGAAGCTGATTCAGTTTCTGGTTAGAGAGCTGTAGGTGTTCGTTCTCCACATTCTCCTTGGAGAGGAGAAGCCCCAGCGCCTCACTCTTCAGCGTCTCGACCACCGCATTCCATTCCTACAAGAGATCACTCTTCAGTTGCTTTCACACATAAAATAAATGGCAGTCTTGGGTAAGGCCCAGAGGACAGCGAGATGTGTTGAATGTATAAGAAACCTGTCATTATTTTCAGATCACAAAGCAGTAAATGCTGCATTCTAGGTTTGAGTGTCACAACATGGTAGGTTAAAAAGAGACACAGAAAAGAAGCTAAAAAAAAAAAGAGGGTTGTTGATAGTAGAAAGGGGAAGGTCAACTGAGATGTGTGACTGATGGAGGCTCTGGTGGTGCTGAATTCAGGTCACCTGCCATTTCCCTTAACACTATCTGAAAATATACCCAAAATATGGTCATTTTTTTTTGGTATACCAGCATTTATCAATCTCTTAACTCATTTTTGCCTTTTATTCACTTAAGTAGTATAAGGACGTCTCTCTCCTACAATTCAGTCTCCTTGGCAATGTAGGCAAACATGCACGAGAAAGGAAGGGAAATCTCATCATTTATGGCTATTGTTTGTGCATCTGCCTATACTTAGAACTGAAATCAAGATCTGTTCTTTTCCACAAAGTTAATAGCTGTTATTGTGCAGTACTCTCTCCTTCCCGACCCTGGCTTCACCTCTCAGTGTTTCATGATCAATGATTTATAAACATTTCAAAAAGGGAAAAGAGGCAGTTTTTTACTTTCTACTGCATGAGGGTGAAAAACACTAAAGGTTAAAACAGTAAACAGAGAAGAAAGAAAATAAAGAGTTGAAGTACACCAAAATATTAACATTCAATTTATTTGAAGGGAAATTCAAATTTCTTGCAAAAGAACTGAAGTCATATCTAGTTTCATAGAATAATGCTTATCTCCAACATAGGAGTCTCGTCAGTGAATTTTCCGGTACCCGTGTCAGCTGAGACTGAGCTGTAAGCATAGGCTGTTACCTAAGGCATCAAAAATTAGCATTGAATTTTACAAACCACAGTCTGACTCTATCCTGGCTAGCTCTGCAGTGCAAAATGTCCTGTTAATAAATTACACTTGTTATATTATATTGTATAAAACATAATTTTAGTGCAATTTACCACTATTATTTTCATTCATTTCACACAACAGCTAAATACTGTGTACCTGGGACCATGCTAGGAATATAAACAAAAAATAAAATGTAGCTCTTTCTTTAACAATACATAAACTGCTGTTTTACATAATTTTGCATATATTACATTATTAAATATATTAAATATATGCTGGTTCTACAAACACACAAATATACATACATAAAATTGTAGTATTTCAAATCACAGTTGGTGGATGTTGAAAATAGAAATTGTGCATATTATTTTATGGACTCCATAGAACTTTTTCTAATAACGGTGCAAGAGAAAAATATTTTGATCAATGGATGCAAGAATAAGTACTGCAAGTTAACAGAATGGCAATTTTTGGACTACCAGTTATAAACTATGGTTTGTAATAATAACCCTCACAAACTTAGGTTACATGCTATTATTTTCCTACTATTTAAACAGGCTCAAAGGAATATGTTATTCAAGGCTACGTATCCAATAAGTGGCAGAACTAGGACTATTCATAGGTCTGCATACAATGCTATATTCCAGGGAACTGAGGGTAAGGAGACTTCAGAATCTCCATATTTCTCAGTGAGTACAAAAGGACCACTCCTAGGCATGAAGATGGGCTACATGAGTTCTCAAAACTCTTCTTTTAAGAGCTATTTGTCCCCACTTAAGTACTGCTAATATGTGCCATGATGTTATTTTGTAAAACACTCTAAATATCCCTACCACTTAAAAACCATTACCTTAACCTTATTGGGAAAAGCAAATATTTCTAAAGCAGCATAATTTCTGAACACACAATAGGCACTCACTAAATATTAGTCCCACTTTTCTTCCCATCAATGTTATCATGGTTCATTAATGCCCTAAAAATTTTCATTATTATGTTTCCTAGTTCCAAAATAACAACAGTACAGGCTTTCTCCAAATGTTTTTGGTCGGTGTTCTGTATTGGCCAATAACATGAGGTAAACAAAATAAAGCAGGTTTCTTTACTGTAACACTTCTTGGTACTTTTACAATGTTAGCTTGCATTGCCCATCAACAGAAAATTGGATTAAAGATTTACTGAGCATGGCCGTGCCCATCAGAACAAGACCCAGTTTCCCCCTCAGCCAGTCTCTCCTATCAGGAAGTTTCCATAAACCTTTTATCCTTGTCCATCAGAGGGCAGCCAGAATGAAAACCACAATCACAGAAAATTAACCAATCTGATCACATGGACCACAGCCTTGTCTAACTCAATGAAACTATGAGCCATGCCGTGTAGGGCCACCCAAGATGGATGGGCCATGGTGGAAAGTTCTAACAAAACGTGGTCCACTGGAGAAGGGAATGGCAAACCACTTCAATATTCTTGCCTTGAGAACCCTATGAACAGTAATGAAGAGGCAAAAAGATATGTTACTGAAAGATGAACTCCCCAGGTCGGTAGGGGCCCAATATGCTACTGGAGATCAGTGGAGAAATAACTTCAGAAAGAAGATAGAGACAGACTCAAAGCAAAAACAAAACCTAGTTGTGGGTATGACTGGTGATGGAAGTAAAATCTGATGCTGTAAAGAGCAATATTTCATAGGAACCTGGAATGTTATGTCCATGAATCAAGGAAAATTGGAAGTGGTCAAACAGGAGATGGCAAGTGTGAACACTGACATTTTAGGAATCAGCGAACTAAAATGAACTGGAATGGGTGAATTAAACTCAGATGACTATTATATCTACTACTGTGAGCAAGAATCCCTTAGAAGAAATGCAGTAGCCATCATAGTCAACAAAAGAGTCTGAAATGCAGTGCTTGGATGCAATCTCAAAAATGACAGAATGATCTCTGTTCATTTCAAAGGCAAACCATTCAACATCACAGTATTCCAAGTCTAGGCCCTGACCAGTAATGCTGAAGAAGCTGAAGTTGAATGGTTATATGAAGACCTACAAGACCTTCTAGAACTAACACCCCAAAAAGTTGTCCTTTTCATTATAGGGGACTGGAATGCAAAAGTAGGAAGTCAAGAAACACCTGGAGTAACAGGCAAATTTGGCCTTGGAGTACAGAATGAAGCAGGGTAAAGGCTAATAGAGTTTTGCTAAGAGAACACACTGGTCATAGCAAACACCCTCTTCCAACAACACAAGAGAAGACTCTACACATGGACATCACCGGACGGTCAACACCAAAATCAGACTGATTATATTCTTTGCAGACAAAGAGGGAGAAGCTCTATATAGTCAGCAAAAATAAGACTGGGAGCTAACTGTAGCTCAGATCATGAACTCCTTATTGCCAAATTCAGACTTAAATTGAAGACAGTAGGGAAAACCACTAGACCATTCAAATATGATCTAAATCAAATCCCTTACAATTATACAGTAAGGGTTAGTCGCTCAGTTGTTGTGCCCAACTCTTTGCGACTCCATAGACTTCAGCCATCCAGGCTCCTCTGTCCATGGGATTTTCCAGGCAAGAATGCTGGAGTGGGTTGACATTTCCTTCTCCAGAGGATCTTCCTAACCCAGAGACTGAACCCAGGTCTCCTGCACTGCAGGCAGATTCTTTACTGACGGAGCAACAAGGAAAGTGATTACACAGTGGAAACGACAAATAGATTCAAGGGATTAGATCTGATAGACAGTGCCTGGAGAGCTATGGATGGAGGTTTGTGACATTGTACAGGAGGCAGGGATCAAGATCATCCCCAAGAAAAAGAAATGCAAAAAAGCAAAATGGCTGTCTGAGGAGGCCTTATAAATAGCTGTGAATAGAAGTGAAAAGCAAAGGAGAAAAGGAAACATATACCCATTTGAATGCAGAGTTCCAAAGAATACCAAGGAGAGAAAAGAAAGCATTCCTCAGAGATCAATGCAAAGACATAGGAGAAAACAATAAAATGGGAAAGACTAGAGATCTCTTCAAGAAAATTAAAAATACCAAGGGAACATTTCATGCAAAGATGGACTCAATAAAGGACAGAAATGGTATGAACCTAACAGAAGCAGAAGATATCAAGAAGAGGTGGCAAGAATACACAGAAGAACTGTACAAAAAAGGTCTTCATGACTCAGATAATCATGATGGTGTGATCATTCACCTAGAGCCAGACATCCTGGAATGTGAAGTCAAGTGGGCCTTAGGAAGAATCACTACGAACAAAGATAGTGGAGGTGATGGAGTTCCAGTTGAGCTATTTCAAATCCTAAAAGATGATGCTGTGAAAGTGCTGCACTCAATATGCCAGGAAATTTGGAAAACTCAGCAGCAGCCACAGGACTGGAAAAGGTCAGTTTTCTTTCCAATCACTAAGAAAGGCAATGGCAAAGAATGCTCAAACTACTGCACAATTGCACTTATCTCACACACTATCAAAGTAATGCTCAAAATTCTCCAAGCCAGGCTTCAACATTATGTGAAATGTGAACTTCCAGATGTTCAAGCTGGTTTTAGAAAAGGCAGAGGAACCAGAGATCAAATTGCCAACATTCGTCGGATCATCGAAAAAGCAAGAGAGTTCCAAAAAAACATCTACTTCTGCTTTATTGACTATTCCAAAGCCTTTGACTGTGTGGATCACAACAAACTGTGGAAAATTCTGAAAGAGATGGGAATACCAGACCACCTTACCAACTTCTTGAGAAATCTGTATGCAGGTCAGGAAGCAACAGTTAGAACTGGACATGGAACAACAGACTGGTTCCAAATTGGGAAAGGAGTACATCAAGGCTGTATATCGTCACCCTGCTTATTTAACTTATCTGCAGAGTACATCATGAGAAATGCTGGGCTGGATGAAACACACCTGGAATCAAGACTGCCGGGAGACACATCAATAACCTCAGATATGCAGATGACACCAGCCTTATGGCAGAAAGCAAAGAACTAAAGAGTCTCTAGATGAAAGTGAAAGAAAAGAGTGAAAAAGTTGGCTTAAAACTCATTCATAAAACTAG